AACACAGAAAATTATGCAGAAAATCACAGGATGCGTCGACCTCAAACTGGATGAGTCAATGCAAGGAGGTTGTTGGACTCAGGATGAGTCGATGCATGCAGAGGATGTGTCGATACATGAGTGTGTGAGACTCAGGATGAGTCGACGCAAAGAGAGGATGTGCCGATACATGATGAGTACAAGACTCAGGATGAGTCGACACGAAGAGTGCATGTGTCGGTACATGCTGGGATTTGAAGAAGGATGAGTCGATCCATAAGGAGGATGCGTCGACTCATAATGAGTAGATGAAGCAGGATGTGTCGATCCAAGGAGTTATGTGTCGATACATAATGCTGGATTTTTGACAGAATTGACTTCTAATTGCTGTAACTTGAGTTTTAGGATGATGTTTGAGATGTCGTTCGAAGCGTTGATTAGCTAACGCGATGAATATTATTCTAGATGATTTAAATGATGATTAAGAGGTGTAATTCCAGTAACTAATTTAGGATTTAGAATTAATTCCCGTAGATGACCGTTGTGCTGTCTTTGGGACAGATTGACGAATATGAGATGTTAGAGACTGCTGTTAGAAATATGACAGTAGGATTAGTGACAGTAACGATATAAATTAGCAGAATAATAGGATGGGTTACTGTACTATTATTATACTGTTTAGTATTAGTGAGATGTTATTGATGAATTTGTGTTCAATGATTTTTGTGATAATAAATGATGTTTAATAAATTATTTTGATGTTATGAGATGTTGTTAATTGAGATGTTTGAGATGATTGAGATGTTGTTGTTTTGAGATGTTTATGAGATGTTTATGAGATGTTGTTGTTTTGAGATAATTGAGATGTGATTGAATATACGAAGTGTTAGGCTTATTTCCAGTGATGCAGGGATGTAGGCGAATGCCTCGAAATGAAGTTTGTGGTGAATGATAGATATGTAATGTTGTATGTTTCATGAGTCTCATACATTTGCATTTTGTGAAGGCCTGTATTGGAGGATTTGTGAAGTAGGCTTATGCCTTGTGCCTCTATTAATTGGCAATTAGTGAAGAGGGTTGAAGCCCTGTTGGTACCACATGCATATGCACAGTTGTGTCGCATTCGAATTGCATTTTGAATCGCTAATGATAATTGTGAATGTTTATTGATTGTTGTGTGTTGTTGAGAAGTGGTGAAGTTTATAATGCTCTTGTCTAATATATTAATTATCATAATCTTATTTATATTATTTGATGTCTCACCCCTTTATTTGTTTCGATGTTGCCTTTATACTGGTAACGTGCAGGTAACGAGGAGTAGAGACTTAGTAGCTTGTTGGTGTCGTCGCTCTGATACGTAGCACTCGGGGGGGAATGAACGCTTATTTGATTTTATGATGTTTTAAGTTTAATTCAAGTTGTTGTTTTAAGAAGTTATTTTCTTTGAATTAAGTTGCTTAAAAGATGCTATGTTTCCCTGGAAGTTTTAAAGTTATGAATCCATTGCATATTTATGGAATCAAGTTGAAATACTTTTGAAGAATAATAAATGGTTATAAGTTCTTTGGATCAATATGTGCTATGTATCTATTATGATAGGTTTTTATGTTGTTGGTTTTTGGAATGAGGATGTAATACCCCATGTTTGCGGAAATTTTGGCACTCTGATTTTAATATAACTGTGGTGTAGATTTGGGGTGTTAAAGGACACCTATTCAAAATATAAACTACAGTCGAAACAACTTCTCCCCATAAAGACATCGGCAAATTCTTTTGCTTCAGCATGCTTCTCGCCATATCTAATATGGTTATGTTTCTTCTTTCAGCAATTCCATTATGTTGAGGTGTATAAGGGGAAGTTACCTCATGATTAATACCATGTTCTGCATAGAAATATTCAAACATCTTAGATGTGTATTCGCCACCTTCATCTGTTCTCAGAACTTTAATCTTCTTCTCACTCTGGTTTTCGACAAGTATTTTGATTCTCTTAAAGATTTTGAATACTTTGTCCTTTCGTTTGATCACATATATCCACAACTTTCAACTAAACTCATCGACAAATGAAACAAAATATTTGTTTTCACCAATTGTATGTTCTTCAATTGGACCATATACATCTGAATGTACCACTTCGAGTATGCAAGATAATCTCATTGGCATAGTCGGAAAAAAAGAATTTCTAGATTGCTTTCATGCTAAACAACCTTCACAAAGTTTTTCAGACATCTAAATACTTGGAATTCCAGTAACCATATCTTGGATAATCAGTTGATTGAGTGATCGAAAATTCAAATGTCCAAACCTCAAATGCCACAATCAACTATCCTTATGGTCAACAACAGTTTTCAAACATTGAACTTCAGTCGAACTGATCATAGTCTTAAATGTCATGTTCTTTGATAACGAAGATTTTAAGACCAAATTGTTCTTGGTGTCGAACAATTTCAAAACTCCATCTTTCACGAAAACTGAGAAACATTTTTCGACTAGTTGTCCAACACTTAACAAGTTGCACTTTATTCCATGTACATAAAGAACATCTTTAATCATATCTTTCCCACCATTACTCATTTGAAAGACTATATTTCCAATAACTTCTACTTGCAATGAACTATTATCAGCAAGTTTTACCTTGCTCTTCTTCGACTCGTCAAAATCTGCCAACCACTCCTTTTGACCAACCTAGTGGTTCGAGCAGTCTGAGTCGAGAAACCAGATTTTGGATTCGACATGGTTATCTGCAACTGTAGCCATAACTATCATACCACCTTCAGAATCATCTGAATCTTGGCGTGCAAGGTTCACTCCTTCGTCCTTGCTTGTCGATCCCTTGTCTTTTCTGTACCAACAATCCTTGGCTACGTGACCCCATTTTTCATAGTTATAACACTGCACACCTTTTTTTATTATCTTCTTTGCCCTTTCGATAGTTTCCTCCTCCTCTTTTTGAGGATTCAGAAGCTCCATCTTCGACCTGGTGTTTGTGAGGTTTCGACTGAGACTTCTTGCCCTGAGTCTTGTTGAACTTGTGTTTGAATTTGTTGGAACCACCATCCTTTTTCCATGACTGAGCTTGCAGATCCTGTATCGATTCTTGCACTCCTTTCCTTTCGATAATCCTCATCTCATACGCCTCTAATGAACCAATCAAATCTTCCACTTTAGTGGTTTCAAGATTGTTGAATTCTTGAATAGCTACGATAATGTGATCAAAGTGAGAGGTCAACGTTCTCATTACCTTCTCAACTATCATCTTATCAGTTATGGTTTCACCACAATCCTTCATGAGGTGGACGAGTTTTTGAACCTTCGACACATATTCTGCAACTTCTTCATCTTCTCCCATAAAAAATAACTCATATTATCGATGCAAGGTTTATAACTTGACAACCTTGACTTTCTCACCTCCTTCATAATACTTCACCAGAATATCCCATGCCTCCTTCACCATTTCAGCATGAGAGATTCTGTCGAAATTAGCAGCATTGACCGTCGTCTGAATGCAATAAGCAGCCTTGCAATCTTTCTTCTTCACTTTGTTGTGAGCTTTTTTCTGTGTCGGTTGTATTTACAGCCGACACAGGAACACCGTCGGTAACCACTTCTAGCATTTCATGGAAGCCAAACAAGGGTTCCATCTATTTTTTCCATCGAATCCAATTCTTGTCGTCAAACATTGGAAGAGAATTCGAAATGCCCTTATCACTAGCCACCTTCGCAACGGTTGATTCACTTGCCCTAAAACACGATCTTATAAGTTATGAATTTTACTGCCTTATCATTTTTTATATATGAATGTTTTTAATTTTTGTCAAAGAATTCATTTATTTGACAGTCATATAAATCGGCCTAACCAAATCGTACTAATCGGTAATCCGACAACTCGTAAACTAATCAAACTGATTTTCAGATGATAAAAAATGAACTATCGTATAACACCTGAGGTTTGGGCTGGATTGAGCTTTTGGACCCGAATCCAATCCTACTCGACCGCTTGTCCACCCCTAAAAAAACAATATTCGAGCTGCCCACTTTTTTTCAAATTTTTGCGATATAGAGAAGTATGTTTACCACCCCTACCTAGAGGAAGTCTTACATGGACACAAAAGTTTGGACACAAAATTTAGACACAATTTCATAAAAGAAAAAGAAAAATTAAAATAAATTGAATAATATGTATTATTATAATATTTAAATGATATACACTTTTATTATGTGTATGTGTTGAAATGATAATTTGTTGGGGTTGTGATTAAACTAGCATTTCTCCAACCCAATTATGTGTCTCAATTAAAATCTCCACCTTACAAACTTTTCTATCACCTATCTATATCTATATTAAATGAAAATAGACCCTCTGCTCTTCCTATTTCTTCTCTATCCTCCACCTTAATGAAATGAAACCTTCCCTTTTTGATACAGTCAAGTGGAATAAGAGGAGAAAGAAGTCATTAATGAGGGAGGAAATTCTTACAAGAAAATCTACATATTTCCCATTTTTAAAATAAGCCGCCGATTAATTGTCATAATAACCAAAGGGTCCATGTGCCGCCAGTGTGTGACAACCAATGGCTGGCCCGACTATAGAAAAGTATAGATAGAGAGAGATATCTAAATTATTTGATAAATACATTTTTGACTGATTTTTTTATATAAATACTAACTTCTACTTGAAAGAAATAAAATTACTCATTCAAAAGTCAAACATTTGTGTCATAAAAAAAGTACATTATTTGAGTATAAAATTATAGTTTCTCTAAATGAAAAGTGCCGCAATTCACACGTAACACCACATAATATTTCATTTGTATAGTTCTATAATTTACATTGGGTAAGGTAAGATCACAAAGTATATCCTCTTACATTATTTACTTTTATTTCCTTAAATTACCATATCTTCTCTCTCTCGCTCGCTCTCTTGTACTATATAACACATGAATTCTCTTAAATCCCAATTCATTCAAGTGTCTCAGTAGTTTCAGTTCTGCATCATTCAAGTTGGTTCCACATATCAGAAGATGGCACCTACAGCTACAAAAACTGCAAATAGATCAAACCACCCAAATGAAACGAAAGGAAAAATCATTACTTGCAAAGGTAAGTAACTCACAACTTTCACATATTCTGAAGCTTATTGAATAATCTAAATTAATTATGATGTTATGTTGTATTAGCTGCTGTGGCATATGGTCCAGGAGAACCCTTAGTAGTAGAAGAAATTATTGTGCATCCTCCTCGAAAAATGGAGGTTCGAATCAAAATCCTGTATACTTCCATTTGTCACACCGATCTCAGCGGTTGGCAAGGCGAGGTAAACACATCCACATATTTATATATCTATACCTATATCTATATATCACCTTCTTATTTTGATAGTTTATTCTTTTGTTTCTCGTGAACTAAAGTCCGAACCTCAACGTGCTTTCCCTCGAATTTTCGGGCATGAAGCCTCCGGGTACGCAAATTTTCTTTATTAATGAAATTAATACACAAAATTGTGAGATGAACTTATTATTTTGTGTAGGATTGTGGAGAGTGTAGGGGAAGGAGTGAGTGACATGAAAGAAAGGGACTATGTGGTGGTAATATTCAACGGAGAATGTGGTGAGTGTGTGTACTGCACGTGTGAGAAAACCAACATGTGTGAGAAATTTGGGGTGAATCCAATGAAGAAGGAAATGTGTGATGGAACAAGTAGGTTTAGTACAAAAGATGGTAAAGCTATTTTCCACTTTATGAACACTTCAACTTTCACGGAGTATACTGTCGTCGATTCAGCTTGTGTTGTTAAGATCAATCCTCAGTATACATCAAGTCTCAAGAATCTCACCTTGCTTAGTTGTGGAGTTTCAACAGGTAAGTTTTATTACGCAATCTTTTTTCTTTTCAAAAATAATTTCTTAAGAAAATATTGTTTAATTTAGGTTAGTAATTAAGTTGATAGAAAATATGTTCAATTAAATTCACTTATTTAGTAGATGTTCAAAGATATCAAATATTATATAAACAAACATACGATCGTACATACTAGTGATATTTTTAACAGTATAATGAGTTGGAGTATTGAGTAACATAATTTTTAATGCGTGGGCCTCTTACATGCTTGTTGGAGATGGGAGTTGATTTTCAATTTCAATACATTTAATGTTGTGTCCCACACCTTTCCTGATCTTATGCTCACGGACTCAGTTTCCTACTTTGGAGGTTATATTTGATTTTTTTTTTGTTAAATAATTTAATCATCACAATTTTTCTCAATTTTATTTTTTCATATTTATTGAAAAAGTAATATTTTTTAGTAGTTTAATAACCAAAATTTCATTTTAAAAATGAATAAATCAAACATGGCTCATTTTAGTTCACATTAATTTATTTACATAAATTTAACAAAAATAAATGTCTTTAAATATTAATTCATCTTCAAATTATTAGATACTAGTGTATTTATGTTTTTCCTTTCAAATAAAAGTTTGTCTCTCTTTCAAAATACTTAACGTGTTCTTAAATAAAAAGTAATTTTCTTCAAAATAGTTGTTTTTTATATTTTCAATACATTGTTTATTAACTTATTTAAATTTTATTCTTAATTAATATTGTTTACAATTAATTTTTAAATTTTTGGAGTTACATATATAAAAATATTTAAATGTGACAAATGCGTAATAAACTCTATTTAATCACAATATAAAAATGATAAAACAGCATATAATTATAATACAAAATCGAAGGTAATAATATCACAATATCTTAAAATATAAAAGTTAAAATTTTCTATATACATATAAACATAAGAACCCTAAAAATATAAAAATATAATCATCTTTTCGAGTTTAAAACAAATATCTTATTGATGCAAAAGAAAAATTAATTGTATTTAGATTGACAATTGATAGAATTGATTCTATTAGATTGAGTTTGATAAAATTTATTTTTAAAAATTTGAATTTAATAGAATTAATTTATATTTAAATATATTTATATAAAATTGAGTTCAAGAGTAAATTTTAGTGTAAAAATTATTTATAATTAATTCTGGAACAAAAGCTATAAATTCTATTTTTAAATAAAATCAATTTTAAAAATAAAATCAATCCTATTTTTAATAAAACAAATATTTCAAAATCACTTAATATTTCACTTAATATACATATCCTATCAACTTTTTTTAAAAGTAAATAGTGAAAATATGCAATAAATGTTTTTTTAATAGCGATAGATATGTATACTTAACGGCATGATGAATATAACTATAACTACCACGAAATTAAGAAGAGAGGAAAATTAATTTTCACTTAGATGTGATTAGAGCGGTTAAAATGGTCTTAATCCTATCTTTTTGATTCAGTCAATTGAGTCTATGTTTTCATGGATCGGGTTAAATGGGTTTCGAGTGCCCGTTAAAAAATAATTGAGACTTCTCCACCTCTTATCATTACCATGTAGAAAGTATTTATCACTATCGAAATCAAAGGTTCATGATATCATTTGTTGGAATAATCTGGGGAGTCGACACAAGAGAGTATTTTTACACTTTAGAGTATTTCTTTTAGGAGCAACACATTTTATAAGAGACACATCACATATTCATCTAAAATTTTAAAGTGATAGGTGTGTGAGTTCTGCCACTTATAAATACTCAAATCTCTATATTTCTAATTAATGTGAAATTTTCTTACACTATTCGCTTTTGTAATACTTTTTTAACACCCCTTAAATACGAAACTATCAACAATACTTCCACTTAACTTATGTGAAACTTTTCTACCCTAATCACACTTGTAATTATTTTTTAACATGGATGATATAAATGGCCCTAAATAAAGATGCAACATATTATTTTTTAATCTATTATTTTTATAATGACATACTGTAATTAATTTTGAACTCTTACATTTTCATTTCACAAAAAAATTAGTAACCGATAGTACATGAGATACTTTTTGTAAAGAAATAATGAGTGAAAGTGAAGAATAAAAATTATTATTGAAAGTTACTAAAAACTGAATTACAATATATATATATATATATATATATATATATATATAATATATATATATATATATATATATATATATATATATATATATATATATATATATATATATATATATATATATATATATATATATTGGATCGAACAATCTATTTAAATATTTAGACTCATCAAATCGAAGCTGACCGGGTCGAACAGCCTTATTTGACAACATTAGATGTGATAGGTGCTTAAAAAGACTTTGAATTTTACAACTTGAAAATATTTATCCCAGTCATGTGTATTAGCAACAAGTCAGATTCTGAAAATTTGGTGGAGCAGGATCTTTGGTCTTTACGAAAGAAAATTATAGCATCTAGAATGTCCAGAAAACAGGAGAAATAAGATAATGAGAAAATGATTTTTTTTCATTTGTTTGCCGCCTGCAACTTCACGTGACATTGTTTGTTTGTTCTATTTATGTTTATTTGAATATTTCATTTAATGGTCAATGTTTGTATTTGAATGTATTTTTTCGAGTCTGTGACTCATGTGTGCGTATATTATTCTAGAGAGCAATGACAATGGTCTTTATTATTGATTTACAATAATTATATACTGCAATTCTTTTAGTCAAAACTTATATGAGCTGATTAAAATAGTCCCACATTTGTTCTAGAATTAGAGGCAAATGGTAATTGAGCAGGCAATATCAAAACGGCGAAATTCATAAATAATAAATCGGATAATACTTCAATGTTTCAGTTGTGTGAATTTAAGATTGACAGAAATATTAATGCCGTCTAATAATGATAATTCGAAATTTGTATTGTGTCTCTTAGACTCGATTATGGACAAGTGTATGTTTCAATCAACTTTAAGACTATGTCATTATCACTACAAAGTGTTATCCATTTTGCGTGCAGTTGATTGACATGTTTTGAGTGTCATATATGAACTATATTTAACATGAGCTCCTAAGTATGTGAAATTATTCTGGTTATCTCAACAGCCCTTAACCTTGGTCATCCTAAAGCATGCGTCACTTAACTTCGATTTTTAATAGGGGTGTCCGTCTGGTTTAGATTTGTTCCACAAAAACTCATAAATAATTAGATATGTTAGTTGATTAATTTTTGTTATGTAGTTATTTAGACTTTTAACATGTATTTAGACTTGAGTATTTTTGTCTATATAAAGGGTCATTATGTTTGTAGATAGATGCTAGCAACAATAATACAAAACAGTTTAGTTAGTTAGTTACGCATAACTAACTCATCATTCTCTCTCTCTCTCTCTCTCTCTCTCTCTCTCTCTCTCTCTCTCTCTCTCTCTCTCTCTCTCTCTCTCTCTCTCTCTCTCTCTCTCTCTCTCTCTCTCTCTCTCTCTCTCTTCTTCTTCTTCTTCTTTTTGTTTTCACAAAATTATCTTTCTTGAATCCTTTGTTCCAACAAATTGATATCAAGAGCTTGTTTGCGATTCAGAGAGAATTTAATGGCAAACAAATCAACAACATCAACACAGTTTCCAATGAATCTACCGGTTTTCAAAGGTGAAAACTATCAACGATGGGTGGCACAAATGAAGGTTATTTTCAGATTTCAGGATGTTGTAGAAATCTTGAATGATGGAATATCACAATTGGATGTAGATGCTACGGAAGCCCAGAAAACTGCGCACAAAGATCAGAGAAAGAAAGATGGCAAGACGTTGTTCTTAATTCACTAGTGTGTGGATTCTGATGTATTTGAGAAGATAATTGAAGAAGAAACAACAAAAGGAGCTTGGAAAAAGTTGAAATCCTTGTATGGTGGAGATGAGAAACTGAAGAAGGTGAAGTTGCAGACTCTGGGAAAGCAGTACGAGATGCTTCAGATGAAAGAGGATGTATATATTTCTGCATATTTCTCAAGAGTGGCGACGCTAACAAATCAGATGAAGGCATGTGGTTGACGCGCTTACGGATCTGCAAAAGATAGAAAAGGTATTGAGATCTCTAATTGCAGATTTTGATTACTTTATTGTAACAATTGAATAGGCCAAGAATCTATCTGAGAAGAAGTTGGAAGAACTTCAAGTTTCATTTGAGGCTCACGAAATGAGACTGCAACAGAGAAACTCAGAAAGAGAGAAGACAACTGAACAAGCATTACAATCAAGATTCAGCAAGAAAGCTGGAAAAGAGAAGTCGAAGCAGCGAAAGAATCTTGCTGGTGATGAGAAGTCAAGCAAGAATACTGATTCGAAAGGTGTGGACAACAAGTATTCTGGGAAGAAAGTTGACACGAAAGAGGTGCATTGTTTCAATTGTCAAGGTTTTGGCCACTATGCTAGAGACTGTCGAAGAAAGAAAACTGCAAAGTCGAAAGATAGTGATGAAGCTCAATGTGCACGAGCTAGAAGTAGTGATTCTGATGATGTGTTGTTGTTGATGAACACTCAGTCGAATCCTGAGAAAAACAACATGTGGTATCTGGATTCGTGATGTAGCAACCACATGACTGGCAATAAAAACTGGTTTATCAAGTTAGATGAGTCAGTCGAAAAGGTGATAAATTTTGCAGAAGGTAGGCATATCAAATCAGGTGGTAAAGGAGATATTTTGATTATCAGAAAGGATGGTCGAAAGGCTACTATCACTGAAGTACTGTATGTACCTTCGATGACAAGTAACTTGATAAGTGTAGGTCAATTACTTGCAAAAGGCTTCAATATGAAGTTAGAGAATAATCAGATGAAGGTATATAGGGCTGATGGGAGGCTAATCATGAAAGCACCATTAGTGAAGAACAAAATGTTCAAGGTTGAACTCAACACATCAAATCACAAATGTCTTGCTTAAACTACAGAAGAAGATAAGAATTGCTATGGCATCACATGTATGGACATCTAAACTTCAAGAGTTTATGTATGTTCAATCAGGAAAAAATGGTGCTTGGGTTGCCGTATGTGAAGGAAACCAAAGCAAATATGCGAGGAATATTGTAAAGCCAAACAGGCAAGGAAGGCATTCAAACGTGACTTGCCTATAAGATCAAGGAAAAAACTGGAGCTGGTTCATTCAGATGTGTATGGACCCTTTGAAGTAAAGTACAATGGAGGTAACAAGTATTTCCTTACTTTCATTGATGAATTCACCAAACATATGTGGATTTACTTTAT